AATGTCAAACAAAGATATTTGACTAGAAAAAAACAATTGATTAACAAAAAGCTAATTTTAAAAGGAAACAGATCTCAAAATATCTATGACCATTTGTCTTTCTTGGACAAATTTCAATTATATCTTAATTAGTGTTATAAGAAACAATTCTTTTCTAATAAAACCATGACTGCAAAAAGCTAAAGAACTAAAATATACCAAATACTTCAAGATAATTAAGTACATTAAAAGAATATTAAGCAAGAAAAGAAAAAAAAGCTTATCAAGCCAACTAGGGATTATCTTTCCAAAATACATGAAATTTATTTATTAAAAAATTTACAGATATCTCAGCCTTTTTGAGATTACTAAACAATATAAAAAAATATTAATTAAGAAAAAACTCTTCAGGATCAAAAAACAACAAGTAGATCAAATCTATAAAGTTATCACATACAACCATGTAAAATTTTGGGAAAATTCAAGAGCTTTATAAAAAAAACATTGGGAGACTTAAAACCCTTCTTAAATCTTAATATAATTCAAAATAAAAATAAAAACTTTATTAATAATTCTAACTTAATCAATAAAATTACAAACAACCATTTTAAAAAAATACTTGTTGAAAACAGCTTTATATTAACAAATACATTATAGAAAGATATATATTTTCTATCTAAATTATTTTAGCTGAGATTTACAAATCATTTGAAGAATCAATTAAGTACAATAAGCTTACAAGGATACTTAATAAAACTCTAGTTAACAAAAATTCTGGAAACTCAAAAATCACATGAAATAATTAACTATCTATATAATAACTTCAAAAAAACACTTCTAAAACTATACAACTTCATTTTCAATAATAAACATATTTTACAAAACTGGAAGAACTCTACAATTGTTTTCTTATTAAAAAAATTACTTGATCAAGGAAAATTGCAGATATAAGACTGATATTATTAATCAAAGCAACTAGAAAAGTGTTTACAAAAATTATTAATACAAGAGTATTAACAATACTCACCAAAAACAATATTCTATCTAAAGCCAGCTTTACAGAACTAGCAGAACAAAGTACTATTGAACTATTGACAATTGCAACCTCAAGCTTAAACATAGCCATTAACCTCAACAGAGAACTCTGGATTGCCTTATTAGATATTGCAAAGGCCTTTGACTTAGTTAATCTCAATAGCCTCAAAGTAGCCCTTCAAAGAATTAAATATTTAACAAATTAAAATTCATATTTTATAATCTTTAATATAATTAAGAACTTTTTATTGCTACAAATTTTGAAAAAACAGACAACTTTAGAATATAAAAAGAACTAAATCAAGACAAAACTCTCTTATTGCTATTATAATTAATCCTTTATAATTTATTGATATTTACTATTCTCAGTTATCAAAACACCTGCAAATTCTATATAATATTTTTGCATATATAGATAATGTGCTAATAATGACAAATCCAGTACCAAAACTTCAAGAATTTATTAATATCTTTTGTTTTTATCTCAATTTTAACAATATCAAATACAATATAAATAAAACCACATTTATTACAACTATAGGGTACAACAATCCTAACAGAAATGCTATTATTAAGATTCTCAATATTACAATTACTTATCTTTTATATAAATCAACAATAAAATATTTTGATAACCACTTTTCAGACAACATTACTGGCAGACAATTCAAACAAATCCTAATTAAGGATTTAAATCAAATTATCACAACCTGCAGCAAACAAAACTGAAATAAATTAATAATCAAGCAGATAATTAACTGGATTCTACCAAGCAAACTCAATTATATTTTATATTCAATCTTATTATCCAAATGGAACTTATAGGCTTACAAGCTAAAATAAACAATATAATCAAAACAAAATTCTGAATGGAAAAAACTATCTCAGACAAAGTTATATTTTCAAGCTGGTCTCAAATTTCTTAACCTGACAAATAGATAAAAACTTATTATATCAAAGCTATTAATTACTAAAATATACAATTCAAAAACCAAGACTGTTACTGAATAAAAATTGAGTTAATTCAAGAAACCCATACAATATGAATATATTCAATTTGCTCCTTTAAAATGTTTTAAAAAAATTGGATTACTAGAGCTACAACCATATGGAAAAAATATAAGATTCCAGTTTGTCTACTTAATTACAAATTCAATAATCCAAAGGGAATTATTCTATTGATCTCATATTTTTTTTTAGAAGCAAAGCATTGATTCATTAGACCTTGGCCTTTACTAAAAAACATCAAGTTTTATAGTAATTTACTAATATATTGGTAAAGTCAAAAACTCACTTGGCATGAATTTAATACATATCTAGATCCTATATTCAAAGGTTCAATCTCATATTGATTTTTCAAATCAATATTTCAAATTATATCCAAGGATTTTCTATTTGTATATCAAATATTAAAGCTAGATTCTAGATAGCTATACTTAATATCCAGATTATTGATATAAAGGCTAGATATAATCAAAATAAGAATCATACAAATGTCAAAAAAAAAAAATTTCATTAATACAAATAAAATCTTAACTAAATTCCAGTTTCACAACAGCATACAAAAAATTTTAGTTCCAATGCAAGAAGCTATGATCTTATGAACTTATTACAAAAATAATCAATATCTCCTAGTCAATACTTCAGAAGAAATTTTAACTCAACTATATTTCAAAAGGTCAACAAATCCATACCTATTATCAAAATCAAAAGCATAAATCAAACAAACTTTTTACTATACCTTAATGCTAAAATAATTACAAATATAAAAACAAATCCTTACAAATCCTTAAGACATACCAATTCTTTGTTACTATAGATCTAGATATCAAAAATAACTATATAATAATAAGATCAAATGAAATAACTATCATCTTTTATTTCAAACATAATAAAAACATTAGTATTTTGTTAGTCTTTATTGAAACTCTAATAGCAGTCAGAAGCAACATTTATATATTATTCAATATATCCAATATTTTCAATTTATTTTTTCCAAGCTATATTAACTAAAAAGTTAAAACAGCTTACAGTTATTTAGTAGACTATATTGCCACTTTGCAAAAGTCAAAAAAAAAATAAATTACAAACGAACAAATTAGAAAGTGATTATAATCTGCAAGAAAATAATTCAGTAATATATATAGACAACCTAATAAAAACTAATAAGTTCATCACAGAACCACAAATCAAAAACATATGGGAATATAGTATAGTAATATGTATCGAAAGAGTATAGCAAACCTATAGGCTTACCAATATTATCAATAGTTTATTAGTTAAATATAAATGAAATCTAACACTATATGTGAAAACTATATAACATCTTGTTCTTGCAAATAATCTACTAATTAAAAAAGACAAGCACAATCTCTCTTCTTTATTAGTATTTAGAAACAAGATCTTAAGTGGAATCCTCTCAACAAGAAAACCTATATACAAGAGATACCTAAACATATATCCAGATGATTTCTGCCCAAGATGCCTAACAATATCAGAAATCTAAAAGTAGATTTTCAAGTATTAAAAGAATAAAGAAACATATGAAAAAATTGAGACAAAATAAAATCCAAAATTAACAAGCTAGAAAAAAATTTTGATATAATAAATATAGATCTTAACTTCAACAGAAAATCACAACCAGAAAAACTTAAATGTGGCATTACAGATCTCAATAATTAGTTGTCAAACAAGAAACTTGCCAAATCAATAAATAATACACTTAAATTGATATAAAACTTAGGACCAATGATGAAATTTAATTCATATTTGTATAATTTTTTTACTAACATATGTAAAATTTAATAAATGGCTTAACCATAATTAAGAACCAATGATGATGTCAAAGATATCTGTATGAAAAAAAAACTGGGAAGCGATTAATGATAGAGAATTAGATAAGCAGCAGGAAAAGAATATTAGCATACAAGCAAAAATATTCATGTATATACAATTTAATAAATCAAGATAATTTTACAAGCGCATAAAGCATTTAAGAAGTCTCGGTTATAAGCATTAGTTATAGTATATAAATTGATATTATTATTTATTATAGCATTATTTTGAAGCATCGAGTCACTAAGAATTTGATTATTTTCTAATGATTTAACTAGTCAAAGATCCATTACATTTTATTATAATAAAAAATTTTTATAATAATATAATTTTTTAACATAAAAAATAATATTTAAAATTAGATAAAAAAATTTTTTTTCAAATTGAAAAAAAATTATATTTCTAAATTGCAAAAAAATATATTTTTCTAAATAATCAAGAATTTGAACAAGAAGTGATCTTTTACTTCATATACAAGATTACTTTGTTCTTCAAATTTTTGAATTATAGATCAGCCGCACTGGCACTTTTCATTCACAAATTGTAGGGATTGTATGCGGCAAATATTTGGAACAATAATGAGATTAAAAAAAATTATGGAAGGGAATTAAAATAGTGTAGAAACAAGTATAGTAGAAAAATACATGTTTGTGAAAAAAATTGATTAAAAGTATTCTAATAACCAATCAAATTTAATCACATATAACCTGAATCTGACCCGAACCTGACCCGATGATCTTCGGGTTGGGTTCGGGTCAAGTGAGGGTTAATAATCAACCCGATCCAAACTCAAAAATTATCAAATGGATCGTATCAGGTCAAACCCGAACCCGACCCGAATTGACCCATTCGAAACACTAGCCAGAAAAAAGGGTCAACGAACTCTCCGCACGTGAATTCAAAATTAATGAGCTGTGGAATCAATACAGAAATTAATGATAAACTTACTGCGGAAATCGCAAACATCAACACAGCGGATCCAAAATTTAACACATTAATGTCAATTATGAGATGGGCATATAGTAAAGAAATTAGTGATAGTTTAGGAAAAAAATATAATAAGATTTCACTTGGAATTTTTTAACATGTATAAGTTTCGTGTTCGCTTACCAAGCAAAGAAATAACATGATTCAAAATGATTATTCTTCATCTAGTGCGATAATGCGGTATTTAAAAATCTCTTTAATCTTCTTTCTTCCTGGCACAATTTCAGCCACTCACTACCCACGACCTGACTCAAGCCAAAATCAATGAAAAAGTAATGGCAACTCTTTGGTTCATATAGAATATTTTTCTCTGAGATATCATTGTGTAGAACGCCACAATTATGTATTGACTTTAGCTGATTGACTATTAACTTTTTTTCTTCTTTAGTGAGTCTTTCCGAATCAACGTGATGGGCGCCCTCAATTAATTGTAACGCTAACGCGAAAAGATATCCGTCATAAATGTAACTGCTGTAGAACAAACGTGGAATATCATGACCTAATATCAATATTGTAATAGACAAGTTAATATTATTCAAAATATTATGAATGAAAAAAAATTGTACCTTGACACTCTTTCAAAATAGAATATATATGAGCTTCATGTTTTAGCGTTTTCATCTCCTTTTGCTCCTTATATGCATCACAAGTCTTCCATGCTACATCTTTATTATCATAATATCCAGAAAAAACTTTTCCAAATAATCCACCACCTATGTACTTATTTACAGTAGTAAATCCCTTGGATGAACTCGCAATTGGTTTACTACTACTTTTTGTTGTTCTCTTTCTCTTCCCTAAACCAGCATTAGGGATGTTATTGGCTTGAATAACTTGGCTTGGTTCAAAAAGCTGTAGCCAAAGCTTAAGCCAGGGTTTTATTGGCCATGACCTAAGCTACAGCTCATGGTACAGCTTAAATTGCAGCCAATATATGGCTTAATTCACGGCTGCAGGTTAAATGATATTATATTATACCATTATCAATTTGATCGATAAATAACATTCGCATTTATATCCTATGCATCCTTATACGTACTGTATATTGTCGTGTGCGCGATCGGCGAGTCTGTCACTACAGTAGTACTATCGTCTCTGTATAATGTTGGTAGAAGGTAAGTATCATTTAGTTAAACCCTTGAGACATATACCGATTTGGCTGGTTCTCTTTTGTTGATTAACTTCTAACACTTCTATAACGGAACTCTATCAGTCACTAGGTTTTTCCCAATTCTCCTAGTCACACTCTAGTTAGTATAGTCACGTGAGAATGTTATTGGCGTTTAGACAACAGGCGAAATAGGAACACCAAGTAAGAGTTTATCATTTAACAATAGTTTATTTTGTAGAATCATGACGTACAAGACTCTAATCATCCCCTTTTATGCTATTGTATTGCGCATGTATTTATACATGCGCCCTTTGTTTACGCTTCTACACAATTCTAGAATTTCTCGCTCACTATTTCCCACCTAGTTTTCTCACCTTAATTTCCCCACATCTCATGAAAACAGGATGACATAACGCAATATCACATTGCATGCCTGTACTGATTTTACCCATAACAATATACTGTATATTGTTATAGGAAAAATTGGAGGCACAGTAATGTGACACGCTATCGTGTCAAGAAATCAGTAAGTTATGAGAAATTAGTTATTTTAA